CATTCGTTTGTTTACAAGGTGACGATGTCAACATACCGGTCTTGCAAGCTCAACGTTGATCCTTGACATACGGATGTATGATCTGTTGAAATACTTGACTGCCTTAGCAGCAACCTCGGGAGTTTTGAAACCGACATAGCCGATTCTCCGTTGAGGAATAATTTTTACGTCTGTGACTTCACGACCTCCAGCTGAGAAGTGCTGTCGGAAGTCTGCGTCTGTGATTTTGGGCGGAAGACCTCTCACGAAGATGCGAGAGGTCTCCAATGGAGTAGCTTCGGCGGCGGTGGCAGCCATTATGTGAAGGGGTATCTCAGAAAACAAAATAAAAGGCTCCAACAGTAGTAAGAAGAAAATATTATGAGCTCAATTGCTCGGGGGGTTGTGGTGGCTATAAAGGCAGAGACATGCTGTCGTGTAGTGGACAGAGGAAGACGGGAGAAGGCCTTGGTGATATTCACGACGGAAACGGGACTTGCCTTGAAGTTTTTTTTTCTTCCGCCCCGTCGTTATCGCTATCACCATGTGACCTTCCGCCCCGCCTTGTCAACGCTAGCGCAGGTTACAGCCGTAGCCGTTTCCACCCCGGAAGGAAGATTATGGTCCGTGCGCCCATGACAACCCAACTCGATCGAATGGACCCTTCCCTGTCGCGGGCACTTTGTCAGGCTTGCTCCAAACACGCGACAACCACTCTTGAAAGAAACTCGTAAACCAAGCCAATTCCTCGGTCTAAGGATTTTCATGTAAGTCGAACCCTCCGCGATGTGCAGAAAATCATTGACACTCTCGTCAGAACCTCGATCCCTATAAGTGAGTTTCTCCAAACTAGACGAAGGCGCAGCAGTGGACGATGAGTTGGAAAAGGGGCTTGCGAGTTGTGCCGCGTAAACCGAACGAATCATCTGGACCGAGGCTGACGACGAGATCGCAAGACTCAGATACTTTTGCAGCACCACGAAATTATACAATGGCCGACGCTAAGAGCACTTCGCCCGCTCCGCGCGAGAAGCTGGAAGGTACGTTGCGACAATAGACTGGGTCATCTGTGCAGGAACTGGACGAGGATAAGGTTGAAGACGAGGCTGACGCAAACGAAAAACAGCTCAGGTCAAGAGCGCCGACATGGTGAGGAGCGCCGACGGACCGCCCAACTGCGACCCACGATACTGACAGTGTATAGACCGAGGACATGCAGCAGGAATCCATTGAAGTCGGTATGTAACGTCATTCCTCGGAAAGCCCCTCCGTAGGACCCCGCTGTGTTCTGACGACCCCTCCATAGCTCAGGAAGCCATGGCCAAGTTCACTATTGAGAAGGTACGCGTCCTCAATTCACTGAGAACATAGCGTACGACATCGTTTACTGACAAACATGATCTCCAGGACATTGCCCAGCACATCAAGCGAACCGTGAGCCTACCGTAATTCCTTTTATCGCCTGACTGCATACAGTTGCTAATACTTGCGGCGATTTCAGTTCGATGAGCGCAAGGGACCTACATGGCACTGCATTGTTGGCCGCAACTTTGGCAGCTTCGTGACCCACGGTACGTCTACCAACAGCCCAACGTCCGACTTCCAGCCAAGACAGGAGGAGAATGCGGGGCATCGAATTGGACATACCCTAATCATATCTAACCCGGTATACAGAAACTAAGCATTTCATCTACTTCTACCTCGGCCACTGCGCGATCCTTCTCTTCAAGACCCAATAGACGGCCGAACGACCAAGCCGAAGAACGAAAATTAAGCGACAAATTACTGTCCAAAGACTTGGGACCCCGCCCAGGGACGACGCGTCGCAGATACGATGTACAGGACATACCTTCAAATAGGGAGAGGGCCCGCGACTAGACCGGCCTCATATGGGATAATGGGAATATGAACTTGTGGAAAAAGGCGTGTGCGGGAACTGCTTCTTTCTTGGAGGGGGAGAGATGACTGTCAACCAAAACGAGGGGTTCAAAATGCAGCGTTGGGCGAGTAGATTTTTACCGTGATCTTCTGCTAGGCGGCGCTGGAGCCCATTCGTCAATCAAATATGCTTCAAACGTCATGGCTCGTAACAATTGCTGTTAGTAGGGCTTTGTAGGCTTCCTTGCGCCAGCCAGGCATTCGGCGCCTACCGAAGCCCTGTTGAAATGCGGAGTGTGCGATTAGAGAGAACTTCGTGGTTCCTGGGAGGCTGTTTACGATCGGCGTATTCCCAGGGCGCAAGGCTCTTTTTAAGGACAGAGTCTCGATTCACTACAGGTGCTTCAATTTGACCTCTGCCGTACCTTGCGATGGATGGTATGATGAAATACTGATTGACGGAACACAAGATGGCATGCGCCGTGCTCACAAAATTGATCCCAAGGCCACGGTGAGCAAGGTGACAGTGATCATGTGCTGGATTTAGGAATAGGAAGAGAAATTGTCAGTTCTCTCAAATGTTACCCACTATAATGCTCTTCCCGGACCTTGACTGGACGTAACGCATTGAGATGTGAATGTCTAGAACATGCCCACGACCTTCTTCGAGAATGGTATAATGAGAGAAGTACAGAGGTGTAATCTTCCATCTATATGGGCCTCTATTCAAAAGATAGACGCGCGTGTACTTCTCTACTCTCACACTATTCCAATTGCTAGCCAATTCAATATCGAACAGAGGTTACAATAACTCCGGAAATAATTGCCTTAGAATAATCGCCACTACGAATAACTGTAACTTCTTTGATAAATGTCCAGAGCATCCGTCCACCACATTACGATACACGTCCGCAAGTGTGTACCCATCGAGATATCATCAGGAGAAATAACCATCCGTCTAACTACCTCCCTTCGGCACGTCAGACCCGAGCAGCATCGCGGGTCCAGACTCTCTCTCCCGATCAAGAGGCAAAGGAAGGGAACCGCGGTCGAGAGCCTCGTTTCAGACGACCCCTTTCTCTGGCGGATCAGCACCTCCAAGGCCGTTGTCCATGGGGGATTTCTCATCCGTCCGACGGCTGTCTGTCTCCCCCACCCTTCTCTCCTCAACTCTCTCCGGATCTGAAGCCGACAGGACGACATCTTGTGGGGATGATTCATGGGATATTGGTATGTTCAATCCGTTTAGAGTGGCCATCTCATCCTCATCCGTCTTGCCACTTTGCCTTCAAGTCTCTGAGATCCAAAGTCGAGACCGGAATCTAGGATGCACCACAATAGTAAGGAAGCAACACCTCCCGACATAATTAAACAGCTCAGGCACAGGCTTCTGCCTCTCCTCCTTTCTACGAATCAATTTTACAAAAACAAGGGAATTGCTACTGGGCTGGGTACCACGGCGCATGTCAATCTTGTTCAACCCAAATGTCTCCGTCTCGGGACATAAAACGAAACCGGGGCCCATGCTCATTTTCGTCTCAAGTTTTCCTTAGACTCGACGTCGTTGCCGTGGAATAAATTAAGTACGGATCGACGCAACCAAAAAAAAAAAAAAAGAGACTTTCTCCATTGAAAAAGGGTTGTTTTTCTTGCAACAGTATGACCCAGCATGCCGGGTGGGTGACCTTTTCCCTTCCTCGGCCGAGAGACACACACACACACACACACACACACACACACACACGCTCACGGGGAAAGGGGAAACCACTTTGCTGAAGTTTCTCTCACTCTCTCTCGCTCTCTTGTTACAGAATGTCAGTAAGGGGGTTTTGTTATGGGATGGGATCGACGTCGGCTTCCCGTGCCCACCTTTCATCCACTCACTCGTGTTATCCGAGCGAGAAGTCTACATGCCATACGAAGCAGTCTCTGGGCAGAGTTAAGACTTGAATTGATTCTGAATTATCAACAACCGCAATAAGACACCAATCTCCAACCGAACCTTTTTTTCCTTTCAGGAAGACCAATTCGGAAAATCGCAGCTCGTACGGGAGTCATTCTCAATGAGGCGGTGTCTGTCATTCGTTCTTCCGAACTCCAACAATACGTGCAGTGCAGCCCCCGGCCCATGGGCACTTTTTCGTTCCGTCAGTTATCCACAACGGGCGAGTTGGGAACTTGGGGTAACACTCAAAGTGGCACTTCCCTCGCGAGGCGCTGCCAGGCACCCAGCAATAGCAGGTTGGGGTTTCTGTTCATGTCCAGGTTCCTGGCTGGTACCTTCCTCCCACCTTGCGTACCTTTTATGGATAGGTAACCAGCAAAAGAATTAGTATCCGTACGTATCTAACCATCAACAGGCGTAACCCAAGGAAGCGGGCCCTCTCACCTGACACCCGAAGCGGCTGGCCCTCCTCCTCCACCACCCCAAGATGCCAAGGTGTGTAGGTACTGTGGTAGGTACCTACAGAGTCCCGTCCCTCCTCCCAAGGAGTCCCCTCCGCTCTGCGGCACCCGCGCCGAGCCAAGACACAGACATGCGCTAGAGCCCAAGAGATCACACGCTAACGTCGACCTAACTAACGACTTGTTGTTCTACGGATGGATACTCCGTACGTATACTACACTACTGCGCAGTCTTGCGCTTGGAGGGGAAGAAGAAGAAGAGGGACTCGCAGGTGAGGGCAAGGGAGGGGCAAGAGCGGAGGGCGATAGCCCGCTTTATTTCTCGGCGGCCGGTGGCTGGCTGCTGCCGGATCGACATTGATGAGCGGGCTGCGGGATGGGCAGACGAAATGCAACGGGGTTTCGTTGAACGCGTGCAGTGGGGAGAGAAAGACAGAGAGCGACAGACCACGTTTTTCTGGAAAGAATGATCTGCAAAGGTGCGTTTCCGTCCCCTTTCGTGTAAGAGGACCATGGGCGTCGCTGCTGCGAATCTATCTGTACCTATTCAGAGGTGAGCTGAATCCGCAAACATTTGAACCAAGGGGGAATGGGACCAGAAGACGAAGCACGCTGGGACAACACACGACTCAGCTCCCACTTGGCAAATATCCCACACAGATAGACGATGCCGTTAAGCTCTCCCGCAACGAAATGAATCAACATAACAAAGTCTACTGGGGTGCTTCCTCGACAGATCATATCACCTTCCGGAAACTTTCTGATGGGCGCCCGCACCATGCTCTCCCGATATGCAAAGCGCGAACCGCCAGTGCGTGGGCAATGTGATCCGAGAGCAGTTGCCATGGTGGGGGGAGGGATAGGAAAAAGAGAATCGTACTGCGATTTACCGCGCTGCTCCCTCCCCCTGCCATACGCACGTTCGAATGGCCCTGGCGTTGCCTATACATGATGCACATGAGCCGAAAGCCATTGAAGGAATTGAGTGCTTTGATGAAGAAGCGGGGTAAAGACCAATGTGAATGAAGCCATCGGCGGAAACTTGAGCAATTCATCTTTTCGCCCAAACCTTTTGGTGTCGTTGCAGATTCTTTGGGGGGCTGGGTGATAGATTTCCGGCAACCGGTAACTGGTTTCGGACGTTGCGCGACGACATGGTTGGCGGGAACGGAACGACCATACAAGTAGGCACTATAGACGAGAGGCGAGACCCAGGGTGTCAGCCAGACCACCACCATCCTATTCAGGGTCCTGGTGGCAGGGGACAATCTGCTGGACGATCAGGGCCCTGGTCAAAAGGGTATTTCGAGCGAAAAGCATCAACCCTTCTCCGTGACGACATGGCAATCGTCTTCTTTGCAGTCCGCATTGCTTGTCGGCAAAAGGCGAGTCCCTCTCGTATCGGAAGGAATGTAGGTTCCACAGGTCTTCGTCAAGAGCCCCAGGTATCCTGTTTGAGGCGTAGAGCTGAGCATCTCTTTCTTGTCGTTTCTCGGGTGAGTGGCCCTGATCAACGGAGCAGGTACGGAAGCAGGCCGGAGTGCTGGCTGGTCCATCATCCGCCTCTCCTCCTCCTCCCCACCTCACAAAACACCTCTGTAGTCACGGATACTTGGGTTTGCGACGCACAGGACAGCACCCGGTCCTACTTTGTCCGAACCATAGAAACCCATCTGTCTGGCTGGACCGGCTGGAAGGTTTCTCGGCTGCATTGGTGTCTGTCAGCCTTCCAGCACACACCATATCTAACAATGTTGGTCGATGTCCTGAGCGGTTCCTGTGTGTAGCCGTCCTGTAGGTAGATAGGCCCGGTAGGCTTCTCATCATCTTCGGATGGAGTAACCGTTTTTGGTGGTTTTGTGCTACCCATGCGTGTAGCATGTCTCACACTTTTTTTCTTGCTCCGGCTGGCTGGACTCCAAACTCCCGAACAGCTGGAATGGGACTCACTGTATGAGGGATCAAATATTTGCGTCGCTTAGCATGCCTGTAGTACTCTCCTTCAGCTTCGCCACATCGATTGTAGCCATTGTTCCGGGAGTTTCCTCTAACTCGTCGACGAAAAGGAAGAGGGATCGAGGGCTGGAATCGGCCTGCAACGCACGGGTCTATCGACTTAGCTACGGCATCTAAGGCCCAAGTTGGGCAACGGGGCGGGGAACGATGCATGTATCGCGTGTGTACCTACACCCATTCGGCTTAATCGCCATCCGCCATCTCGACTCGGCAACGTCTCGATGTGTATCAGTACACCGGGCCAGTCCGGCCCTTAGAATGGGATGCAGCTAGAAGGCTGGCCCACACTTGAAGAAGGAGAGGAGGAAGCTCAGGCGCGGCATCGGGCCCAGCAGGTTGGAAGCACTGGGGTACAAGGTGATGAGAAAATACTATGAAGCAGGTCGACCCATGAGGTCTTCGCCACTAGTAGGATGATGGCCCCGATATCAGCAGTCCGCCTGTGATAGTTGGCAGTGATATAGCAACTGTGGACTGTGAGGTTGATGCAAATGTACTGGCTGGTAGGCCTGGGCATCCGAGCTCCGTTGCAGGGTTTGGAGCTTGCTCTCCACATGTGAGCTGAGATGATCCGCCAGGTGTCAGACACTCAGATCGGACAGGTGGGTAAGAGAATACACAAGTGCCGCTGAAGGTAAAGACGGACGGCAGCTGCTTTTGCGCGGCCAAAGGTATCTTATGTCATCCAGTAAGCTGACGTCTCGTTGCATTTTTATATTGAACTTGGCTGTCATAGTGTTGTATTGTCGACGGTCAGGCAGTTCCTGGCAAAAAATCGACAGAAATGTTGCTTTCGTAGCCGTTGCCGGGATAGATTGCTTGGGCAGCGTCTGATCCTGTCCTCGTTTCGGGGGAAACACATATGGCTCTATTGACCACCAGTGGCCCAATTCGAGGCTTTCCTGTGCGTAGTCGGATTCGATTGATATGCGTGCTCATTCACTGATCCCCTGTGTAACTTGCTACCGTTTCTCTGCCGCCGGTAGCGGGTTTCCTGCTCTTTTCCGGCGCGGTTGAGTTGGTATGAAGAAGACGCTGACCCATGTTTTCAGCAACAAGAGCCCGTTAGTGGCCAACGGCCTCGGCATGTTTCTGTTTTCTCGTTACAGGACATGGATGGTCACGGCATCAGTGCTCAGGGTGATTTTGACACTCAAAGCTTCAAACGCATTACCTGCAGATAGATTAAAGCGTTGCTGGAGGCAATGTCGGTATCCAATGATGAAGCACTGGACAGAGGCAGAAATTAGACGTTTATGCTGTTTTCAGGATGCTCCCTTACGTTTTCCATCAACGTCCGAACTTTGACGGTGCCCCATGCTTTTAGAGGTGGGGTTGTTGTCTGCGATGGCCCTTGGGCTTTGTGGTCGGTTTTCGAAAGCAGGCGCCGAGTCACACGGAGAAGACTCTACGGATAGGTCCACATTAATAATAGTGTGGTTGACTTTGCTTGTGGTGGCTGTCGATTTGGTGTAAACAGCCTTGTGATGTTGATGATTTCCTGCAGTGCCAACTTCTCGCAAACGATCCGATACCTAGTAGATACAGTCAGGTAGTCTTTGGAATCGGTATTCCGCGTGTTGAAGGGATCTATGGATGAGCTACCAGGGGCACGAACGTCGGGGGCAGGGTGATTGGCGAGATCTTACTCTGGATTCTGTGTAACCAGCAATCGTCGATGCTGCCGTCGTTCTGTGCTAGATTGTGCTGCACACAGCGAATTGTGCTCAGGTATGGCATTGTCCGGCCGAAGCCCAGTAGTCCGTGCTGTTTGAAGCCACGAGTACTGGGCCATCGCAGTTTGTCGCAGTTGTCTGGCGTCTGCATCATACTTCGCTCACAAGCCGGGAGAGGGTCCCTGCTTTCTGCAAAAGTCGTTCGAGGTCAAATAGTTGGTAGATGGTACAATACGTGGTGATGGCAGGCCGACTTTCTCGGACGCGATCTTGGACTGAGTAATGTTCCGGTGGGAGAATTGCTGTATACCAGCGCCAGTATCGTACTCACTGGTACAGAACGTACAGGTCCTCGTTGATGGCGCCGAAACAAATGCATAAGGTATCCGTACCTGGCATGAAGCCAGTTTGGGTGCCCGTCTTCCATGATCACACAAAAGCGTGGCAGGTGCTGTGGCCTTGTGTTCTTCCGCAACCCAAAGGAGTGAATATTAGCGCAACATGTTCGCTACACCAAACGACACCGATCCGCCTAGCCTCCCTCCAAACACTACAGTACAGTCGAGATGGGTGGGAGTCGGTAGGCTGCTGGCTGCCACGCTGCATGCCGTACTGGCTATGTACCTACCTGCTGTGCGTTCGCCATTGTCGAGTCAAGGTGAAATGTCGCGCAGGTAGACCGAAATGCACCCAGGTGCGCTACCTACTATTGCTGAAGTATCCCTACCTTGACGTCCGTCGCCAGGGAAAACGGCAAAGACATGTTTCAGTCGAGGTTGAGACAATGAGACGCACCGACCGAGACAAGCAAAGAACGGCTCTATCTGGCAGGCAAGCGAGACTTGCAGTTGAGATTCAGGCTCAAGCCGAATCTCCAGCTGCCATCTGCCGCCTCCCCTGACGTGGAGTACGAAATGCAAATCAAATCCAAATCAACCTGCATGTGTAGCAAGCCTGTCAGCTAGAGAGTTGCCCATATACGGTACGTACACTGCTGCGTAGCGATCGGCCCTGCCAATCGCGAGCTTCGTTCGCCTTACGCCATGCTCTTGGTAGCGTAGGTACGACAAAGCTGACCACGAAAGCAACCAAGCCAGTCTGGAGCCTTGCTTGGGGAGGCCATACGATGGTGAGTGTCATTGGGGGCTCAAGCTCGTACCCAGGCCGTGGCGCTGTTGGCTCCTGGCCTGACCCGTGATCGTGATGGCTGTAAGTAGGTACTGCGTCACCTCGGACGAGCGCCCGTATGGAGGCCCGCGATAGCTTGCAAGTTGGCGAAGCTTTGTATGCCGGCCCGCCAACATGGGCACATATTGCGAAAGTCGACGACTGTGGCCTGCCTGCCCTTGAAGAAGTGGAAACTGGGAAGTGACGTGACGGGAAAAGCCAGCGGATCCGAGGACACAAGCATGATCCATCATCCCGCACCAACCATCCCACGCCGTTTGAGTGCTCATTCTGGCGGTTAGGGGAAACACTATTTCGGCGTTAGTCTGGGCCCGATGATGAATCCGATTAAAGTGACTTCCCTTCCCGCGGGAACCCGGGTAGCCACAAAGTCGTGTCCGATGTTCGCTGCGTGTGTCTCTCTGTGAGTGGTACGGAATATGAAGAAACGACGGCAGAAATTGCAATTGTAAACGACGTCAAGAGTCGATGGCGGGTACCTCGAGGTGAATGGACGACAGGGGTCTTGGGCGGGCACGGCGGGATAGTATTTGTTTTTCTGACTTGTTCTTTTCTTTCTCGATCTCTGTGAAAAGTCGTCTGTAGCATCGTTCACCGTCGACGATTTGGGGGTCTTCTTTCTTTTTCTTCATTCCGGGGAAACACCAGCTGGGTCTCAAGGCTTTGGAGGCTTCGGAGGCGTTGTCGAGGAAAGAGACATTGGCAATTAAGGTACGTACCGATATTCGTACCTACTGGTGTACGTACGGGAGGAAGGTACGAAGACCGCATCAAAAGAATGGAAGGATCGACTGGGGTTCCCGAGGTACCTTCCCGACGCCTCCGTACTTGCACTTGCAACAACATACAATTCTAGACGGGATCCACTCCGAGGTACCCACGGGCAGGTACAGATACTGCAGTGGTACATGACCTCGTGGCTGCAACCAAAAGTTAGGTATGATTCTCCCGCGCCCCCAGCAGCCCAGCACACTCGCGCATCGTCACCCAATGTGCCAATCCATCCACTTGGGCACTGCTGCTTCACTGGTGCTTCAATGGCAGGTGCAGGTGGTAGACGGAGGTGTACCGCCGAGACTGAAGTGAGGGCAGGAACCAACAATTCGATAACCTCCTTCCGTTGATCCCGTCTCTTCCATTGATCCTGTCGTCCGCCTCAAATCACTCCGTACCTTGCGGAATAATTCTACCAATCCTCCCTCACCTTCTGTCCTCTCCCACGCGCGTCTTCACTCTCATTGGTTTCCTTCAACACTAGGAGTAATCCAGCCGGGATGTGCGTTCTGGTCTCCCTTCAGCCAACCCAACTCTCAACTTACCGGAGCTTGGATGCTGTCTGCCAATTAACCACCCGACCCGGTCGCCTACCTATGCGGATGCCTCTTCTGCGCCCTCGAATTTGTCCGAGTGATGTCAGAGTCTTTGAAGAGCCTGGCATAGAGATACAAACACCGGCGATGACTTTATGTGTGGAAGCACCAAGTAGACTAGCGGTAGACTAATCAATGGTCACAGTCACACTCCTCGACGATGGGACACTGCAGCAAACAGTCAAGTGACAGCGCAAGCTACTTGACCCATTGGGATCCTCATGAGACCCGCACCAGCTGCAGCATAGAAGGTCAGGTACGGCCGTCCGTCCGTGACTCCATTTGAAGGATGGCGAGGCGACCTACCACAGTAGAACGTCTGCATAGCACATGGGCTTCCCCTCATCACACCTAGCCGCTGCATCTCAATGACTGCTACGTACACAACCGCATTCCGCCATGACACCGAAGACGGCCCAGGTCAATCTGGATGAACATGGCTGAAGTCGAATAGGTCGGCTTGGTCGGAAAACCCTTACTTCTCTGCCTTACTCCCAGTCGTTGAACCCTCAAGAACCGTTCAGCCAGCAGCGATCGCGCCGGCCAATTTGGACGGATGCGGGCATGGCGTGGGTGTTGCCAGTGGTATGGCCCTCTTCACATTCCATCTAGAAGGAAGGGTGTTCCCACTCAGGCACACGCACCAGTTGCAGTGCGGTCGACGTTGCGTGCAACGAATTCTATCGGTCACCAGCTGCCAGCCACGTTCCAGCCGCAAGAGGTCGAGCAAAGAAGAATACCGCCCCGGCGACGCCAGCCAGCGGCACCACCATTGGCGGACGGGGTTTCAGCCCGCCTTACCTTACCATGCCATGCCAGCGAAGCAGAACAAGATGCAGAGAAGCCTGCTGGATACCCAGTCATGCCAGTCTGGCGTCGTCTCCCCGACTCGCCTATTTCCTGTCGTTGATTCTTACTCCTGACCGCCATGGAACAGCAAGGCAACTACTCAAAAGGCATATTCTGTACTCAAAACTTCAAACCCATCCGACGGCTTCTTCCCCGGGTGTCGAGACCAGTATCCGTTGCCAATGGAATTCATCAAGCGAGCGACATTGGCCTCTACTCAAGGTCCGACAGGGGGGTGCACTAGCCGCTGCTAGCCCAGTGCGCTCACCATCACCATTGTCGCAACATGGAACCTGTGTATCCATCAAGTAAGGACAGGCCGCGTTCTGCAGTCGAGGTACAGGCTTGGTACTAAGCCCACTGAGGAGGAACTGCAGGGCAGCACCACCACAACAGGACGAGACAGGAGACCATCTTTCACCCAAGGATAGCGCCGAATGGTAGCACGGGAGTGGACCGGTTTCGTTCCTACAAAAACAATTCATGGTATTGCTAACCGTGGGAGCAAGTCACTCTACGAAAAGCACCAAGTTCGTCGTTCTGATGTCCCAGTCACCGCTGGTGATGTATGAGCATAATGATAAGGACCTCTTCGTCGCAATATCCAGCATGACCCGTTCGCGGGCGCAGGTATATCCGTACTTCTCCAAACGGGATGAGATGTCTTGCAGACAAATGCAACAGCGCAAGGGCGATGGATGGCGGCGGACCGAAAGTTGAGGTATTGAACATGTAACAATGTTACAGTTGAGACGGCGAGAGCTACGTTCGGGTGGCAGATCCACTAGCTACGGTCGAACTGGGACTGGGCTGGACCGGACAAAGCGGTTTTGCCCTTGATTGCCCGCCAATCCAGTCCTTGTTAAGGTTCGCGGCCGTGTGTCAAGTTTGGACGGATTGCCCTTCGTTCAAACAACTGGAAGCCGAAGCAATACGTCGGGCTGTTATGATTGCAGAGAATAACTCGACGGAAGATATGGTACCCACCTCCGGTCCCGAACAGGCGGACGGCTGCATCACTGTTTCTTTTCCCTCCAGAAGAGAAACATGAAGCAAAGATATCGACGAGCAAGACAAGAACGGCATGGGCTGCTGGAAACGATGGGACAAAGGCAGGCCACCACAGACGAGGTTTGCCACATGCTGCCTGCTCCCGTTTCCGTTTCCTGTTGAGCAGCCACCAGCGAGTGCCCCTTGGTTTTCTTCTCATCAATCTTATCATAACAGCAAAATGAAAGCGATGGAGTCATGGAGACAGAGGAACAGGAAGAACAAGGGGTAGCGACTGGGAATATGGAACTTTTCGTAGGAGTGGGAACAAGACGAGGAGGTGAGTGAGTCGGCGGGCCCAATCACCGAATGACAGGGGAACGAACTATGGGATTCGAAAAGGAAAAGTCAAGGCCAAAAATATCCATAGAGATACCACCTCCCTACTCGGTGACAGCACTGACAAAATTCAAGTCATCCTTTTCCGGTACGATGCGGACGAGAGGATGGTCCGGTAGCCTGCTGCGCAGCGGATTTTCTGGTCGTTCGTCTCACCATTTGGGCTGATTGGATTATGCTGTACAGTTTCTTTTCATCTATTACGGTTTCCTCATGTCCTTTGCTCAAGTTGTCAATGTCATCCTGTCAAAGTGGAAGTGGGTGGGCCTGGACCCCGTGACTCGGAGAACAAGCATACCTTAGTAACTGGATGATTAGGGATACGGATAGACAATAGACTATTCGTAAAGAGGGAGGAGGCAGGTGAAAAAGAGGCTCAGAGGGATACGGTGAAGGTTAAATGGATTATGGAACGAGGTGAGGGACCGCCCGCTATCGGATGCTATGCCGGGCTGGGCCCCCGGCCGGAAGTTGTCGTGTAAACCTCGCCCATGCCCAATGCTTTTCGAAATTCTCCATAGGTTATTACACATTGCCCACCTCGTCTTGACTCCTCGCACTATCGCGCGCAAGTGGTGCTTCTACCTCTGTGTTGTCTTGCGGCCACCGTTCGAATGTCTTCGCCCTTTGGCTTCCTTCTGCCCCCATGTGGCACCACGGCTGCGTGA